CCCAGCTATCTAGGATGGACTTGGCTTCCTGCACAAAGGCTGTGCGTTGTTCAAGCTCAAACGCTTTGGCTTCTAGTCGAGCAGTTTCCTAAGAAGTCTCAGCATAAAGATCAAGCCGAAAACCCAGAGTGAAAGTATACCTTAGACACCTCGAACAGCGACTTAGTAATATCAATGACGCCACCCAACTCCTTCACGTTCTCGATGCGTTGTTTGACAGCTTGCGTGTGGTCTTCCCTCGCAGCATTCAATATGCCTTTGATTTTGGCAATCTGCCCGTCCGCCCACTCCTTGTACATTGGGCCACCATACTTCCCAATTGCGAAAAAGACGCTCAGCAGGCAGAAGGCGACGATCGACTCTTCATTGACTACGTAAAGCTCATTGCTGATGGCAGCGACCGAGAGCCCAGCACCAGCAGAAAGAATGGCCGTTTTCGATATCAGGGAATTACCAGGCAGCGAGTCAATTATCGATTGGGCCTTCTTTTTAGGTTCTTCAGCAGGAACATTGGAGGCATATCGTGCGGTTGTAAGGGTAGGGAGGGTGCGGGTCGAGAGAGCTGGGCAGAGGCGGGCAGCTCCTGGAAGGAAATAGAAAATTAGCAGGTATCCAATTGACTATCAACTATAGGATATCAGCATACCGGCGGCATTCCTTGCCAAACGAGAGGCCATTTTGAATAGGCGGGGATGGATAAACGTTGCTTGCAAGTCGAAGAGGTTTGATGGAGTCAGGTTCGGATTTGGCCGGTATGGAGCCAATTGTGTTACACCGAGCAGCCGCCGCAGGCCTGATTACTCATATGTTCCGCCAAGGATCCAATTTTTAACAATTTCGTGAGATATCGAACTCCCCAATTCCTGATATCAGGGATGCTGGATCCAAGTACTCCTTCGAAAAAAAGGAAGAGGGGGGACAATACAGGGCCTTGCAAGCTTGATTCTAAGACCGCCGATGATAATAACGCTCAATCGCGAATACTTCAACTCGAGTCTCAAATACTAGAATCTCGACGGTATTACAATAACATTGCAACGCTCCTATTGATTAGTCGAGGTGATGATCCTCAAAATGGAGAAAAAGTCGCAGCGGCGGTTTCACTATGCCGTGTATTTTGTCGACTCCTGGCCAATGGAGGCATGCTGGTGACAACAGGAGCCGCCGATGCTGAGGCTATGGTCGTTCGGTGGCTCAATGAGAGATACGATGATTACTCGAAAGTGCTCTTGACTATGTTGAAAGAGCCAAACATCAGTCAGGTCAGTTGTATCGGTCACGAGGAAGGATATTCCCCGCTGATGATTTGTTCTAGGGTACCGCCCTAACCCTCCTAATGCGCCTAGTAAAAGATGAAGGAAATCGCCCGAAAGCTGGACAAGAGCGGTTGTTCCCGAGAAAGCTGTACTCGAGAATATTGCGGGTGGTGCTGGAGGCTCAGTGTACTTCAGAGGCAAGAGAAGAACTTGTCCGGAAATATATCAATCGATATGACGATATCAGGATTCATACGATGGCCATTATATAGTGAGTCCTTACAAGCTAAGGAGAGTCTCGCTACTAACCCGTGCGCTAGTGAGCTGGCTACTGAAGGCCACCCTTTAGAAGTGCTTCAAGCTTTCATATCGAATACTCTCTCGGTCCTCTCTTCGACCCAGGTGACACCACCGTCAAAAGATGACATTGACAAATTTTATGCCACTCCTACAGAAAACAGGAGCCAGCTCTCCTCCATCACCGCCTACAAGAAGCAGGCGCAGCAGGCTTGGCTCGCGTTGTTCAAACTCGGGCTTAGTAAGGAACAGCGCAAAATCATACTTGGTCTCATTTCCTCTAAGATAGCACCTTGCTTCGTTAAGCCCGAGCTGCTCATGGACTTTCTTACCGACTCCTTAAACTTTGGCGGCTCGATGTCTCTCCTTGCCCTCTCGGGGCTGTTCTACCTCATCCAAGAGAAAAACCTTGACTACCCAATGTTTTACCAGAAACTCTATATTATGCTCGACGCCAGCATAATGCATTCTCGACACCGGTCTCGTTTTTTCCGATTGCTGGATACATTCCTGGCATCAACGCATCTACCAGCTGCTTTAGTTGCAAGTTTCATCAAAAAATTATCTAGGTTAAGTCTACAGGCTCCTCCAGCAGGCATTGTGGTTGTGGTACCTTGGATCTACAATCTTCTGAAGAGACACCCAACCTGTACATTCATGATTCATCGAGAGATCCATGAGAAGGATAGGAGCGAGCAGTTAAGAGGTGAAGTCATGAATGATCCGTTCGACTTCGACGAGGAAGATCCGGTGAAGACGGATGCTATTAGCAGTAGCTTGTGGGAGATCCAAATGCTGCAGGCACATTACCATCCGAACGTAGCCACTCTCGCGAGAATCATCTCCGAGCAATTCACAAAACATTCATATAACACGGAGGATTTTCTTGATCATTCATATGCCACTGTAAGCTCATCTCCACCGTACCTCCACCGCCATTTCCTAGTTATCTTCCTGGGCTGTTCTGATACTTACTCCTCAGATGCTTGATATGGAACTTTCGAAGGATATAAAAAAGCCCCCAGTGGTAGAGTCTGAGATACCGGAGAAGATATTTACTGGGTACTGCAAGGAAGCTGTTCAGGATGATCCCTTAATTGTGAAGATGTGGGACTTCACATAGGGAGGCTATGGTTTTATGCACCCCGGGATAGGTTTTGGTCGGTCGGCTTTGTAGTTTGATGCAAGACATTGTCCGATATATAACCAACCCCCTAGCCAAATAATTATAAAAAGCAAAATGATAAATTCCCCAATTCAGCTAGTAATTAATACCAGCTCTCTTCCCATTTAGGGAGCGTGGAAACCAGTTTCGGACTGTTCGTTGAATTCATGGGGACCCTGCCTATATCCCACCAGGGTACATATAATATATACATGATGGACGATCTTATGCAATAGACAACGTCTAGCAACAAACACGACCAACTCCTCCTATTGAAGTAGACCATCTAGGTCACCATCTACCCGGAACCAATGGTAATATTTTTTCCCCCGTGGCTATATACTCAAAAACCCTAAACACCGCCAGCCAACGACAGAAAGAACTTCACCTAAGCAATACGACCTAAGTGCTTTGTAATTTGGAGGACCTCCATTTAAGCCTAGAGCAATCTCCACTACTTGCGGGCCCTCTTCTTGCCGGTAGCGGAGCCTGCTGTATCAGTGGCGGCGGCACTGTCGGTAGCAGTTGTAGTTGCGGCTGCATCGGTAGCTGATGCGTCAGTGGCGGCAGTGTCGGTAGCGGCTGCGGTGTCGGTAGCGGCTGCAGCTGTGTCAGTGGCGGCGGCGTCAGCGGGAGCGGCAGCGGCGTCGGTTGTTGCTGCAGCTGTGTCAGTGGCGGCGGCTGCATCGGTAGTAGCGGCGGTTGCAGCAGCCAGCTTTTTGCAAGCAGTTGCGAGTTTCTTCTTCATGTTCATCTTCTTGGGGGCCTGCCCCTCCGCAGGGTCGGTAGCGTTTCCTGCTGCTTCGTTGTCTGCCGCTTCGTTCTTGCCTTTATTTGCTTTGGCCTTGGCAGCTTTGTCCTTAGCAGCTTTTGCAGCCTTGGCTTTGGCAGCCTTGCCCTTAGCGGCCTTGCCCTTGCCTTTGCCCTTGCCATTCCCACCCTGCTCAGCGGCCTCATTTGCATTCCCAGTGGCATTGCCAGCGTCGTTCTGATCACCGACGGCCGCTGTCGCGTTGGCGCAAAGAGCAGCTAGCATTTCGGGAGCACCGTCGTTAGCCATCTTAATTGCCATCATGATGTTGGCATCTCCCATTGGGTTGGCAGCATCCACGGTCCCACTGTCAGATATTAGAACCTAGCTTAGAAGTGGGCAGACAGTGAGGGAGGCGAATAGCCCAAGATACGTACTTCTGGCACTTCTCAGCAACATCGTCGGCACGCTCTGCTAGGTAGCGGAAAGTCAATGGAGAAGAAAGAGATGTCGAGAGAAGAGCGGCCAGCGCGACGGAGAAGATGATAGAGGTATGCATAGTTTCTAATGGGATGTTTAGGCTGTCCAAGCAGTAACAAGGCAGTCAAGTCTTGAGAATGAACAAGAAGGATAGTGAATTGGTAAACTGCCACTAAGAGTGGTTGAAGGAAGATATGTTCAAACGACACCTGTACCTGACGAGAAAAGAACAAAACAAGAGAAACGCAAAGAAAAAAGTTTACGTGATAGCTAGAAACCCGCTGTTGTGGGTGAGAGGGTGAGGTCATTATAAAGAGATTTGGTTCGGTCCTTATATGCTATTCTCCGTGTCGCCTAGGGAATGGTACGCTGCCAGACCAGTAAGGAACAAGCGTGGCATGACGAATATCTCGCGGTCAGCGCCTAGGCATAAGAGGGATATCCAGGTTGAGTCGCGCATAGCTTCACACCGGTATGAGCTACCGAGTTCGCCGATGCAGGGTGGAGCATTCAGATATAACTGTCGGAAAATTGAGCTATCCACTGGTGGAGTTGCTGTGGATTAACCTCGATACCAAGGCCAAGGATGTTTCGGAGGTTTCCAAGCGACACGCACAGATGAAGCTCCGCTCACACCAAATATGGATATAGGTTGGATACCAAAGGTTTGACACTTCACACACGAATGTTCCTGACACGGTCACCCCTTTGATGCTAAGGTGCCGGGGACTTGAGATCCGAGAGACATCACACAGCCATTGTTTGGTCGTTGATAAAACGTCGCTTACGAGCCTGTTCATAGGCGGGTTGGGGGCTTAGCGAAACACATATTCGGCGTGCCACGCCCCGTGTTGCGTAATGGGTTATGCATCAGCTTAAGCGTAAGATGGAGGAGGATAAAATAAAAAGCCCCTTTTGCTTGTATAGTGTTATCGACGAGATGGTGTGTATACATACATACCAGCAACAATGCTCGGAGCAGATACCTGTACCACATCGATGCAACTGGGGGGATCGATTAGAAGGACTAAAAGAAAAAAAACATCTGTTTTGCGTCTGCCGGGAATCGAACCCGGGGCACGGCTATTTTGAATTTTCAGAATGAAAATTGGCAAAGCCGTAGTTTACCACTAACCCACAAACGCTGTCAATTGGAGAATGCTACTCTAAAGCACTAATTGATGGTAAATTGCGCACAGACCTCCCAAAATCGCTTACTTATCACATGCACGCGCTAATTGCTGACGCTCCGATTAACTCAGCATCCTCTCAGCCTTTAGGATATGTACTACGTCATTTTTATTCATTCCTTCGGGTGACTAAACTGCATGTAATCGTTGACATACGGATCTCGTCAGTTATAACACATCGAAGAAACTTCCACTGCATTCATGTATGATCCGGCTAGATCTAGATAAAACCTTCCCGGTAGTCCTAGTGGGAGGAGTACCATCTATAAAACGCCTCCATTGGGACTGATGGGGTGGCTTTTGTCTCTTTTAATCATCATAGCAACCATCGCATTATATAGTAACACAGACAAAATCGATTCTATACTGAGAAAAACGCCTATAGACGCGATCCAAGTTTCATTCTCATCAGTGGTACCAGATTTACGATCGAACATGTCTGTTTCCAGAGCAATCCGCAAGGCATTTCTCGCCGTCGAACAGTCGGAAGGGATGGGCGCCAGGGTCCGCCGTTCAATCGGAACCGCTAAACTACGCAATTTCTCACCCTTCTTGATGCTAGATCACTTTACCGTCTCCCCTCCAGCGGGCTTCCCAGACCATCCTCACCGAGGGCAAGAAACAATTACATACCTCCTCAAGGGTGGAGTCGATCATGAGGACTTTGCAGGCAATGCAGGTACCATCGGCCCCGGAGACCTGCAGTTCATGACAGCGGGCAAGGGAATCATGCACGCCGAGATGCCTCACAAGAACGCTGACGGCAGTCCTAATGTTGGTCTCCAGCTGTGGGTCGACCTGCCTGAGAAGCTAAAGTTCTGCGAGCCACGGTACCGCGACTTACGGGCCTCTGAGATCCCAAATATCGATGTCGACGATGACAAAGTCCACATCAAGGTCATCTCAGGCCAATCGCACGGCGTCGATAGCGTGAAAGAGCTCGCATATACACCAGTATGGTTGTTAGACGTCAACATCAAGCCAGGAGGGCGCGTGCAACAAGAACTTCCGGTGGGATGGAACGCATTTGCGTATACTCTCTCTGGCACCACAACCTTCGGCAGCGGCAAGGACCAGACAACTGTAGGGCCCTACCATAACGTCGTTTTCGAGCAGGCGGGCGATGTAGCTGAGGCACAAGTTGCTAAGGATGAGAAGGAAGATGGTCATTTCAGTAAGCACCCCCTTGTCGCTTAGCGCCCCCCCCCGCCTTCCCCAAACAGCCTAGTACATAGACAAGAGGTGTTTTAACGCCTTGGAAGTCTGTGTCGCGTTTGTGGGTTAGTGGTAAACTACGGCTTTGCCAATCTTTGATTCAAAATAGCCGTGCCCCGGGTTCGATTCCCGGCAGACGCATATTTTTTTTTTTTTGGTTTCCCAACATATTTATGCTGTGGAACACTAACTAACCTTTGTTTGTCATCGCAGTTCTCGTCGCAGGGCTTCCGCTCGACCAGAAAGTCGTTCAATACGGTCCGTTCGTCCTCAACTCAGAAGACCAGGTATACCAAGCCATGCGAGACTTTCAGAGCCACTCCAACGGTTTCGAGCGTGGGAAGGATTGGCGGAGTGAGATTGGAAAGGGAGTTAGTGACTAGTGAAATGAATGGGATGAATACTTGAGGTGGCTTTGCGGGCGCAACTAAGGTCAATGGCTTCGGGAAAAGATAAGTGCCGAAGGATGAAATGACATCTCATGTATGTAGTAGTATTTTAAGAGTAAATTCTTTTAAACAAATGCTATCCTGCGCCGCGGTTACTAGATGCTTCAAAGCCGGACCACCATTTCTCCATGTAGAATATGCCTCACTAAAGAGAGTCACGCCAAAGACAAGCCAGAGACGCCAATGCCATACACAGACAGATATTACCATTTCCGCTATTCCGATAGCATGTTCCCTTGGAGTATCACAACTCTGGTTGAAAGCCCTCTCCACCCTCTGCATTTTCATCCTTCCCTCCCTCATCTTCTTCGAAACTAGTTTCCCCGTCTGGGCCGGATTCATCTGCCTCCGATGGATCCGGATCGAGAACTCCGCGAATCTCCCTTTCGCCATCTTCGGTGTCGAAAACCTCTAGTGTCCAACCTTTATCACCCGCTAGATTTTGTAGTTTCTCTCTTAGCATGTCGATGGTTTCGGGATCAAGATCCAGCTTTCTCAATTCCTCATCTGTCAGCATCTCCACTTTTCCGCCCTTCGCTCTTCCCTTACTAGTGGCCACGACATCTACCGAGCCTCTATCGCCACTATCAATACGCCGACCGTCTTTCCCAACATTTAAAGCCGCTCCCACTTCGATCCCTCCGACAGTTGCTGGCTCTTGGGTCCCTACGAGGAACTTGCGCTGGCTTTCGGCAGTTTTCCGTATTTTCCAGTCTTCGATGTCATCCGAAGGAATGACCTCCCGACAGGTAATAGAGTGTGCTTTGTTTTCCCGCGGAGGAAGGAATGTGACATCGCTGCACAGTCGAGGCGTGTAAATCACCATCAAGTAAGAACAAGTCGATACTTCTTTGATCTTCTCAATCTTGTCGACTGACTGGGAATTACAGTGATACTAGGAACGTTGTAACCCATTAGCTAAACGTGACTCCAGTGATTGCAGGCTGTATTAAAATCACCTGGACCTCAATCTTCCTTTCTCTCCCGGTTAAATCACAAATGGTGCCCCCTCGCAATTCTTGGACCAGATATCGCATTTCTCCTTTCACTCGAAGTTCTGTTGTGTCTGCTCCCCCAGGCCTTGCTTGCGCTTGATTGTTGGTATTGCCTTTCCCTTTCCCTTTCTGGCGATGTGCGGGCTTGGCTCTACCCAAGATATAGGAGGGGGTCTGAGGATCCTCCATCGGGGGCCATGTCGACACGCCCCTATATGATGGCAGCTGGTGGAACTGTTTGACTTCTGAATTATAACAGAATGAATACGACCACCATCCCGAGACGAAATACAAACAGTTGCCTTCCATATCTTTTAACAGCTCCCAGCCTCTAGTTGTAGCTCGTGAGAGCTCATTCTCTGTTTCCGCCCGTGAAGTCTTCGTTGAGGTATCATTCTCTGGAAGTGCGCTCACAATTGGAATAGCACATAGATATCGCTTGCCATTGAGGAGCATAGGTTCGTAGGTCTTAGATGGTCCGTCGAAGTCGTTATCCGCCTCCGTCTCTGTCCCTAACAGTTCTATGGGCTGCTGCGATCTAGGAGACGTGGCCTCAGCTTTTGCAGAAGCCCCAAGCGCAAGACGTGATTTCGCATCTGTGTCTATGATAAATGAATCAGATATATATATCTGGAACTAGGAATTGCCGAATCAATAACTAGTCAGCAAGAGCTCAATGTAAAAGCCTAGGATAATTGCATACCTGTGGGAGCGCAAGTAAATCATCGTAGGCATTGAAGACTCTCTGGATCCCTAGAGCAACAGGGGCCAGAGAAAGTAACACCAGGTTAAGCTTCATCGTTCCGGGTCGTGTACCACTGGCTAGTTGAAGGGAGGAAGGAGAGATATATCTAGCGACGTGTTGCCATCATCTGATCACGTGATCCATGAGCGAAGCTTGTTGGTTCCAACTATTGTTGACAATGCACAAACGCCGGTTCATGAGGTATTCAATATCGCCGGCTTCCATCGTGCGGTATGGTGCCGCCTACAGCCAAGAGGCCCAAAAGGAGGATTGTCCAGTCATCCGACGATGAGTGGAACGAAAGCCCAGAGGTCGAGAGTGGCTCACCTCCAAAGAAAAAGAAGCTGTCAACTAGAAAACCTGAAAATACGTCCAGAGCTGCAAATGGCGTAAGCAGCCCATCCAAACTAGCTCTTCCGACTAGAGCGCCTCCGAAGAGCAAATCCCCACGTAAGCCTGTGGCTTCGAGATCTACACCTAATTCTTCGCCGCAGAAATCTAAAGGCGGGGCTAAGAAGCCGTCAAATTCTCGGGCAATCTATACGTTCTTCACCCCGTCAACTCAACAACAAAGATCGACGCAGGGCAGTGAATGTCCGATTCCGGAGGAGGAGCAAGACGATGCCATTCAGGATGATTCAGATGATGAGGGTATTCTTGATAACGGGAATGCAAGCGCTTGTAGGATTGGAGATACTAAAAGGGGGTGGACTACATCCCAAAAAGATGGCACCACAGCTGGTTCGATCACCAGCGCCAGCCAGAAATTCTTAAGGAAGGCCAGTGCAGCTAGGAGCAATGTTCCATCCGAGGGGCCTACGGCTTCAAAAGAAGACTTGCGTCCGTGGGCAGAGAAGTATGCTCCTGTGAGCTTGGAGGAACTAGCTGTCCATAAGAAGAAAGTCGCAGATGTACGGATTTGGCTAGAAAACGTTTTTGGCGGCAGAGATCGAAAGGTAAAGGCTTCACGTATACTATCTAAAAAAAGGTGACTGACGCTTGTGAAGAGGCTTCTCATTTTGAAGGGCCCATCTGGAGCAGGAAAAACAACGACAATGTCGCTCCTATCGAAAGACATGGGATTTGATATCCTAGAGTGGCGAAATCCTGTAGGGACAGAGTTTTCATCTGAGGGTTTCGTATCGATGTCAGCACAATTTGAGGAGTTTCTAGGACGAGGTGGGAAATTTGGAAGTCTTGATCTTTCCAGTAGTATTGGGAGTCCTCGATCCGAAACAGCATCCACCCCAAACCGAAAGAAAATCATTCTAGTTGAAGAATTCCCAAATACCTTCACCCGGTCTTCAACGGCTCTACAGTCGTTCCGGTCTGCTCTTCAACATTTCCTTGCATCTAATTGTCCTTCCCTTGGGACATTTTTCTCCAGCCAAATGTCCGCGAATGAACAGGTCACTCCTCTAGTCCTGATCATATCGGAAACACTCCTTACAACGACCACTGCATCCGCAGACAGCTTCACAGCCCATCGCTTAATCGGTCAAGAGATCCTCAATCACCCAGGGGTCAGTCTCATCAATTTTAATCCCATAG